TTGAATTTTTTGTTGCTATTCTGTCTCTCAGTGTTACAATACACCTACCATTCGATTTTAGACTGATCATTTCTTTGTGAGTGGGGAAACATTCAAAATCAGCAGGGGATCAAATACTTATTTCCTTCACTGTATATACAGTCAGGTCCATAAATATTTGGGCATCGACACAATTCTAACATTTTTGGCTCTATACACCACCACAATGGATTTGAAATGGAACAAACAAGATGTGCTTTAACTGCAGACTGTCAGCTTTAATTTGAGGGTATTTACATCCAAATCAGGTGAACGGTGTAGGAATTACTTTTTGCATATGTGCCTCCCACTTGTTAAGGGACCAAAAGTAATGGGACAGAATAATAATCATAAATCAAACTTTCACTTTTTAATACTTGGTTGCAAATCCTTTCAGTCAATTACATCCTGAAGTCTGGAACGCATAGACATCACCAGAAGCTGGGTTTCATCCCTGGTGATGCTCTGCCAGGCCTCTACTGCAACTGTCTTCAGTTTCTGCTTGTTCTTGGGACATTTTCCCTTCAGTTTTGTCTTCAGCAAGTGAAATGCATGCTCAATCGGATTCAGGTAAGGTGATTGACTTGACCATTGCATAACATTCCACTTCTTTCCCTTAAAAAAACTCTTTGGTTACTTTTGCAGTATGCTTTGGGTCATTGTCCATCTGCATTGTGAAGCGGCGTCCAATGAGTTCTGAAGCATTTGGCTGAATATGAGCAGATAATATTGCCTGAAACACTTCAGAATTCATCCTGCTGCATTTGTCAGCAGTCACATCATCAATAAATACAAGAGAACCAGTTTCAGTGGCAGCCATACATGCCCACGCCATGACACTACTACCACCATGCTTCACTGATGAGGTGGTATGCTTAGGATCATGAGCAGTTCCTTTCCTTCTCCATACTCTTCTCTTCCCATCACTCTGGTACAAGTTGATCTTGGTCTCATCTGTCCATAGGATGTTGTTCCAGAACTGTGAAGGCTTTTTTAGATGTCGTTTGGCAAACTCGAATCTGGCCTTCCTGTTTTTGAGGCTCACCAATGGTTTCCATCTTGTGGTGAACCCTCTGTTTTCACTCTGGTGAAGTCTTCTCTTGATTGTTGACTTTTACACACATACACCTACCTCCTGGAGAGTGTTCTTGATCTGGCCAACTGTTGTGAAGGGGGTTTTCTTCACCAGGGAAAGAATTCTTCGGTCATCCACCACAGTTGTTTTCCGTGGTCTACCGGGTCTTTTGGTGTTGCTGAGCTCACCGGTGCGTTCCTTCTTTTTAAGAATGTTCCAAACAGTTGTTTTGGCCACGCCTAATGTTTTTGCTATCTCTCTGATGGGTTTGTTTTGCTTTGTTTTTTTTCAGCCTAATGATGGCTTGCTTCACTGATAGTGACAGTCTTTGGCTCTCTCATCTTGAGAGTTGACAGCAACAGATTCCAAATGCAAATAGCGCACTTGAAATTAACTCTGGACCTTTTATCTGCTCATTGTAATTGGGATAATGAGGGAATAAAACACACCTGGCTATGGAACAGCTGAAAAGCCAATTGTCCCATTACTTTTGGTCCCTTAACAAGTGGGAGGCACATATGCAAACTGTTGTAATTCCTACACCGTTCACCTGATTTGGATGTAAATACCCTCAAATTAAAGCTGACAGTCTGCAGTTAAAGCACATCTTGTTTGTTTCATTTCAAATCCATTGTGGTGGTGTATAGTGCCAAAAATGTTAGAATTGTGTCAACGTCCCAATATTTATGGACCTGACTGTATATATATATATATATATATATATATATATATATAAATATATCTAAAACACAATTTTTTTATTTTGTTTTTTGTATGGATTTTTTGGATCTTTTATTATGGATCCTTATTATATCCACCAACTACTATATGTGTGCGTATATATATATATATATATATATATATATATTGTGACAGGATGAACGGCGAGGTGATAGAGGGACGCTATGTGTCACCTCGCATATGCTCATACCTGACCGTTTAGGTGGAGTCCACTCCGGGTTTTCGGGGCCACAGTTAAGCAGGTGGGTCCGGACCAGAATTTGGGCTCCACTGATGACCACCAACAGGTGGTATAAAAAGGGCAGGGCTGGAGCAAGGAGTCGCTTGTGGCCTGGGACTCAGAGAGGTGTTCTAAGAGAGCTGTGTGTGTACTATACCTACAAGAAAAGGTTTGCTTTTCTTTTATTTCGGTGACAGGGAGAAGCCCTTCACCTCTGAGAGAGGAAACGCCTTTTGTTTAGTTAGTGCCTGGATGGCAAGGGTTTATTTTCATGTTTTGTTTATTTTCTGCAAACCTTTTAAATAAAGCTGACAACCAGTCAGATTTTGATGAAAGCCTACTGTGCGGTCTACCTTTGTCCCAGGGAAGGAGATCCCCCCCACCTGAGCTAACCCCACAATATATATATATATATATATATATGATATTATATGCAGCAAGTAGGGGTTTGAGGGTTTGATACTTTAGGAAATGTTTTTCTATGCATTTGCATTAGCACCTTAAAAGTCCAAATACCCAAAAAGTTGTCTATATTCTCCATTATATATGTAGTGGGATCTGTAGTCCACAGAGAGAACTGGGAACAATGCTAACCCACAGGAGTGCAGCACAGGTTGTCCGCTCACAATATTTCTGGCAGGATCACCAGGTATTTATTTTGTACTTATCAAACAGCAAAAACAAAATGCTTTTAATGATTTAACGCAGTTTCTCAACCATTTTGCAGCCAAGGCACCTTTAAAATACTGCACAATCCTGAGGAACCCTATTCTAAAATGTTAAAAAAAAATCAAACTAATAGTTTTACATAAGGCAGGGACATCTACACATTTAGGACAACCAAGGTGAGAGGTGATATATTCTTCCAAAGCAGATACACACTTTTCAACTGACACTGACTATTCCAGCGTTTCTCTTCTCCCTCACTCAGCTAATGTGACCCCAGTGCTGATAGAGAGGCAAAAGAGGGGCAAAACAGGATGCTGTGCAAAGACCCAACATCCTACTTATCAACCGATGACGTCATTGGTTGTTAGGATGCCGGCGGCTAGAAGGTTGTAATGGAGCACAATGAAAACTTGTGGCTTTGTGCAGGGGCGGACTGACAACTCATGGGGCCCCCGGGCAATAGGGGATCATAGGGCCCCTGTGTCCTTGCCCAAACTCAAAACAGCCTATGAAAAAGGTACCAGGGGCATCTCATGGGGCCTCCTACTGACCCCCCGGGCCCTCGGCAGTGCCCGAGTTTCCAAATTGTCAGTCCGCCCCTGGCTTTGTGTAACTAAAAGGTAGACTTCCACCCACTGGTATGTATACAATTTTTGGGCAATTTCTAGGCATTTCGTCAAGGCACCTCTGAAAAATCCTGAAGGCACCCCATTGTGCCTGGGCACTCTGGTTGAAAAAGGCTGATTTATTGGACCAAAAGGGAGAAGTTACATGCACCTTAAAAGAAAAGCAAATGTCACAGACTTGCCTCTGTGTGCAGTGCAAGCACGCTCCGAGTTGTTAAACTTGATGCATTGCCAGTTCCATCACAGAGACGGGGGAAACTGTATTGTAATTAAGATCTTTACAGCATTAAGAGAAATGTGTTTTAACTAACCAGACGTGTCACCACTTGTAATTATTGTTGCTGAAGGCATTCATGGCAAACTCTTGTTGCTCTTTTTCCCTCACTAATTGATTAGTGTTTTTGCTGCTCAATTTTAATATTTATGTATACTTTGTAAGTATGTGCAAGACTGTGAAGATTCTCCCAAGTAAATGCAATGTACGATCTGTTTGCACTTTATTAAAACGGTATTAAACCCAAAAACAAAATATATTATATTGAACTTACCGATTCTTAGATGTGGTGGAGGCATTCGTTTTTTGGGGGTTTTTTTGTGTTTTTTTTTTCCCCTTTATTTTCACCTGGTGATCCAGCCAGTGAGTCTGATATTGTTCAACTTTCTTTATCAGACCAAGCTGTCCAGCTGAAGTGGCAGTTAGAGGGCTGAAGCAAACCATTTACACTGACAGGGGTGCTTACAATTATCTGCTTTTATTTATTTATGTAATACCTTTATCTCAAAAGGAAAAAAAGTATCACTGTACCTGTTTAACTGCTTAAGGACCACCCACAGCCTTTTTATTGCAGCCGGACGGCTCTGCTGTGCTGGATCACTTACATGTATGTGACCCAGCATTTCCAGGTACATCACAAGGCAGCCAATGATTTATGACTGGGACATGCAGATCGACTTAGCAAATTACAGTACAGAGCTCTGTGTTTACTAACAATGCAGGACTCTCCACAGAGTGCAGCAATGTGGCTGTTTTTTCTCCCTGCAAAGCAGCCACATCAATTAGTAAAAGCAGCACATATTACACACAATACACATTGTTAGGCACACAGTTAACCCTTTGATTGCCTCTAGATGTTAACTCCTTCCCAGCCAGTGTCATTAATACAGTATACAGAATTTGCAATAATCACTATATTAGTGTCACTATTGATTTTAGTAACCGTTAGTGTCCTTTCCAGCCAGCATCAGTTAGTGTCACATTGCCCACCACACTATTACAGTCCAACTATAAGTCACTGATCAGTGCTAGCAATGGGCCAAACACCCCCCTGCTCAGTTTGCGGTTGAATATTCGAATCTACCAAAAGTTTGACTGCGAACCTCGAACAGGGACAATTTACTGAGCGGTATCTTGACACATCTGAGTGTGCGGTAAGATACCGCTCAGCTACTAATATACCACATGAGTATATTATTAAGTCATGTGGTATTTTAGTAATGAAACATTCTTTAACCGCCTCCCGCCCACCATATAAGGTAGTGGCGGGTGCAAGGCGGTTCTCTCGTTCTGGGAGGATGTCATATGACGTCCCTCGGACACAGCGGATCACCGATCAACAGAAAGAGCCGAAGATGTCGGCTCGGTCATGTGATCAGCTGTGTCCAATCACAGCTGATCATATGTAAATGGAGAAATGCCGGTTATCTGCATTTCTCTCCTCATGAGCTGTCACGCTGACAGCTCGAGAGGAGAGCCAGTAATTGGCTTTACTCAGAGGGGACATGTACACTGATCATCAGGGCACTGATGATCAGTGTGCCCCGATGATCAGTGTAGCCCCAGCAGTGCCAACTGTCAGTGCTCATCAATGCCACCTGCCAGTGCCCATCAGTGTTACATATCAGTGCCTACCAGTGCACATCAATGCCACATATCAGTGCCCATCTGAGCTGCATTTCAGTGTTACCTATCAGTGCCAGTCAGTGCCACCTATCAATGCCAGTCAGTGCTACCTATCAGTGCTGCCAAACAGTGCCAGTCAGTGTCTCCTATCAGAGCGCATCAGTGCCGCCTATCAGTGCCCATCAGTGCTGCCTATCAGTGCCATATATGAGTGCTGCTTTCAGTGCCCATCAGTGATGCCTATCAATGTCCATCAGTGCCACCTACCAGTGCCTCCTCATCAGTGCCCATCAGTGCCACCTATCAGTGTCCATCACTGCAGCCTATCAGTGCCCATCACTGCAGCCTCATTAGCGCACATCAGTGAAGGAAAAAAATTACTTATTTAGAAAATTTTATAACAAAAACTAAGAAAAACCTTTTTTTTTTTTCAAAATTTTCTGTGGTTTTTGGTTTGTTTAGCAAAAAAATAAAAAACCCAGAGGAGATTAAATACCACCGAAATAAAGCTCTATCTGTCTCAAAAAATGATAAAAATTTCATATGGGTACAGTGTTGCATGACCGCGTAATTGTCATTCAAAGTGTGATAGCACTGAAAGCTGAAAATTGGCCTGGGCAGGAAGGTGGTATAAGTGCCCTGTAGACGAGGGGTTAATGTTTCAGCTGTCAGCGGGGTTCCCTGCTGACAGCTGAATGTCAAAAAAATCATCGGCATTGCCTGTCAATTAAACGTTTTTTTTTTAAAACTGCATGGGGTCCCCCCTCCCATCCATACCATGCCCTTCGGGTTTGGTATGGATTTTGAGGGGAACCCCCATGCCAACATTTTTTAAAAAAATGGCGTGGGGGTTCCCCCACAATCCATACCAGACCCTTATCCGAGTATGCAGCTTGGTAGGTAAGAAAAGGGAAGGGGACGAGTGAGTGCCCCCCCCTTCCTGAACTATACCAGGCCACATGCCCCCAACATGGGGGGGGATGATTTTGGAGTGCCCCTTCCTGAAGCACCTTGTCTCCATGTTGATGGGGACAAGGGTCTCTTCCCCACAACCCTGGCCGGTGGTTGTGGGGGTCTGCAGGTGGGGGGGTTTATCGTAATCTGGAAGCCCACTTTAACAAGGGGGCCCCTAGATCCTGCACCCCCCCCCCCCCATGTGAATGAGTATGCGGTACATGGTACCTCTACCCATTCACAAAAAAGAGCATAGTAAAAAATTACAGGAGGCAGTCTTCAACAACAAAAATAAAAAAAATGTCCATCATGATCCAATGTCAATCACGATGCCCGTCACCACTGCCAACCTGAAAAAAGAAAACAAAAACAAAACGCTTCGCTTTCGGTGCTGGCCCATGCCATCTGATAGCTGTGCTGCGATGACAGTTCTTAAATAATGTGATGATGTCACAAGGGGACAGTGTTACCCCAGCCCCTTGTGACATCATCGTGCGCTGTGATTGGCCAGAACATCGCACCTGATCTGTGGTCAGGTGCATTGCTCTGGCCAATCAGAATGCACTGTCAGGGTGCAGTGCATTGTGGGGCGCAGCAGGCGAATAGCACGCCGAACACCCTTAACTTTCACGTGTTCAGTGAGATAACAAATGCTCTTTTTTTATGTCACTATTAAAAGTTACAAGATAAGGTCCCAATGCGTTGGGACCTTATCTTGTGACTTTTAACTGTGACATAAAAAAGAGCATTTGTTATCTGCAGTACAGGTGTCACTCCATGTTTCTACATCTGTCCCCCGCCACCTCTACACCAAGAACTGAGCGATCAAAGGCCAGTTTTCGCATTTGCTCTGAACAGAGAGGGGTGGCTGTCAGTCACTGCTCTGTGCTCTGCACCGCCAGCGCTCACTGAAATGTTGGTCTGTGGAGGAGGCGGGAGTGGCTGGCTCAGTTTCTTATTGGTATGCTGAGAGGCTGAGCCAGCTGCCAGTTAGACATGTGGATGGATCCTGACATTATTGTCAGGATCCCTGCAGAGCCTCAATCAGCTTTATGACATCAGCTAAAGTCTGCTGTCAGATGAATCTGGATCACAGGAGTTCAGAACTAAGTGCACTCCTGAGACCTACAGAAGAAGTATGACCAAAAGAGCTTTGGCTATACTTCTCCTTTAATTTGAAATCAGAGCTGTCCCCTGCAGTCCCTCTTTACCAACATTAAATGTGAATACCAGACATCATCATTTAACATTCTCTGAACCTAGGCTGTCATGGACTTTCCCCCCACCAATTATTGGATAGTGAAGGAAAATCAGCATAGTGATGGGCTCATCAATTGGTCATGAAAAAAAAGAAATCTTACAATAGTTGTAAACCTCAGACATGAAGTATGAACAAAGCATATTCATCTATAGTGAGTAGTTGTCTTAATGCAGACCATTTATCACTGATGCTTCATTTCTCTGCTATTAGCATGAGTCACTTCTGACAAGTTTTCCTGACACCAAGCGAAAAATGGAGACAGGGGAGGGACCTCCAGCAGATTGAGACTCAGCTCTGTTCCTGTGATCTGTATGGAGGGGGTGTGTCTCTTCCCTCCAATCAGCTCTCCTCACTGAGCTCTGCAGGGTGTGGCTTCAGCTCACCTCCCCCTTTTTTTTTTTTTATGAACTTTCAGACAAGCTTATAAATTCTGCACTTTGAACAGATGTAGAGAAGAGAAGATTGCAAATAGACAGGTACGACCTATGTAGGAAGATTTGTTTCATCTCTGTGTATCACCTGGATAAGCCCTGAAATGCATTGACATAGGACTAGCCTGTTGGACGGAGCGAATGTACAGCTTTTCAGCTGGTTCTTGCTCTTAGATCCCAGCCCCTCTAGACTTCAGAGCTTTCCAGCTACCAGTCCCATCAATTGCCATGGTGAGAGGGATTTCCACATACAGAATGGTTCTACTGTGCCACTGACAGGAGCTGAAAGCGTCCTATACTTGTGAGTGCATTTTTTTACATTAAACCCATTTTATACTACACCAGATTGGTGCTATTATCTTCCTTTTACATTTACATTGGTAGCTGTTCCTTCCAACTCTGAGCTGCAAGGCCTGTATTTTCATTGTGTCAGCATCATAGCATGTTTTGATGTTCCTAAAAATGGATGGAGCTGCATTGAACTGAAAGTTTGATTGGACTTTAAAGTTAGATGTCAGGGAAGATGTCAGCAGTGGGAAGAACTGGTTGGTGCTAATTGTATTTTACGAGGGTGAACTTTTGATGAAGAGCCATCCACAATAAGTCACAATGCGGCCGAGCCATACAGCGTCTGTTGCTGGTACCCGTACTGTGGCTCTTCTGTTCCTGTCATGCTACTTGGGTTCATGATAAATTTTACAGCCCCAATAAAGCCTCCTGTTTAGTGACTATGAATTCCAGCTGTCTCTACAGCTACAAAATCTGTGAAACAAACATAATTTTCCCACAAATGATTGAAATTCACCTTCTACACTTGGAGTCCAACCAAGAACATACAGGACACTAAACTGTGTATTATAAAATGCACCTGTTGTCTCACAGCAGCCATCCTTTCTGAAACAAAACTTACAATGGCATCAGATTAAGGTGTAGAGAGTAAGGACTGTTTGAATTGCAGTTAAGACATCATCACACTGCATCACACGTTGCTCCCTGGCATTTTGCGGTAGGGGCAGAACCAGGCTGAAGATCTTTGCTGACCCTATATTAGCAAGCTGTGCTAATAATACAATTAGTTAATGTGCGTTACTGCATATGCAACATGATTTTAATAGACTGAATTGAACTATAAATTACTTTTTGTTTGCGTGTACCTATATGGGGAGGAAGTTTAATGTGGAGATATTGAGATGTAATGAAATCCATTCATTGATACTGGACCAACATTGAGTGCTGGGAACTGTATACTGAAGGGAGAAGACCTTTTGCTTAAAGCCCAATTGATGCAGTTCTGTTGACTGAAGCAGTGTGCAGGGGGCAGTGTCAGACTGATGGAGACCCAGGCCACTGCTTGTGTGTGAGAGCAGTGGTCCGACTTACCATCAAAGGGCATTTAGGGCTCATTTTACAGCTTTCCAAGTTGGTTGCTCCTCAAGGTCATACCCAGACCCCAGAAGAAGCAAGGCTGACCTGTAATATATTCTTTGGCACTGTGCTCCACTGCAGGCCCTTGCCTAGGCACCTGTGTGCAATGTGTGAGTCAGTCACAAAGTGCTTTACAGGTCCAGGATTGCAGTGTACCTGTCTGGTGGAACCTTGTCCTTGAACACCCCTGGCATCCTTGGAGAAGCAAAGATTAGTGGAAATGTATGTTCCCTGTATCCTTCCTCTCCATCTCCAGAATGCCTGTGTGGGAACTCCAGGACTTCTCAAGATCATTGTATAAGTCAGGTCCTTGTGTGCAAAGAGCCTGCAGTTCTTTGCTCATTTTATTTCCCCAAAGGGGTTAACTTCCTGGCCTCTGGCTGTGGCATTATGGGCTGCACAGCCAGCAGGGGGAAGAGGTTCTGTGCCATATTTGATTTTGGGGCTCTCATGGGTCTTACTGTTGTTGCACTGACTCTCCAGCCTAAATGCTTCTGTCAGTGAGCTCACTGCACAGACACATGACATTTTTCTGGGCCACATGCAGACCTTGTTGCCTTCCTGCCATCTCTTCACCTATACATCTTCCTATTAGATCCTCTGGATGTATACCTGGGCTTCTTGCTGCCTTACAGTGACCTGGTCACAGATGGCATTAAAACTTCCTTACCCAGCACCAGTTTGTGAGTATCCTACGTGGGCAATCCCTCACATGTATACCTACTATGGTGGATTATAAGCTCTAGATCAGTGGTTCTGGGGGCATGGCTGGGTTACAAATGTACAGTCACAAGGGGTCTTACTGCATTTTAAAGGACTTGACACCAATAGCCCAGACCACTGTCCCCTGCCTGAGTTGCAACATTCCCTAGAGTCTTCCTTAGTTCAGGGGTAAATTGCAGCCAGGTTAGCTGGTTTGAAACCCAGGGGTCACACGCATTCTTTCTAGCCCTCTCCTTCAGAGTCCATCTCTGATTTCCCTGAGAATGAAAAGGATTGTACGCTACCCTTTGCAGACATAACTCCTAAACTTATGGATTCCATATCAATCTAAACTTTGAGCTACACATCAGCTACACTTAAAGGTATGTGGAAAAGGGGGGTA